TTCTACAGCAGGTAGCTATTACACTTTCTTTAATCTCGTTTTACCACCCTGAGGTACTAATTAAGCATTCTCAGACATTTACATTGAAGTGATCCATGCTTTTCTGTAGCTGTAGAAACAGAATTGTATACTTTACACACCTATGCTATTAGGCACATAATGTAAGAGGGTGAATTTAATAAGCTTTTGTACATTCAGGTGATTCATAGTGTGGCTACTCTGCACTTTTTGTTTGTCTTTGCATGAGGAGATAAGAGGGCTTTATCAGTTCCTTTCTGGACTTTTTTACATTTTACTTCAAATGGGACAGGTATAAGGCCTTCAGTAGAAGCTCATGAAGCTCCATCTCAAAGTCTGTACCATGGACAGAATTGGTTGACAAGCAGCTTGAGTCGATGGGAAATTTTTTCATATTTTCTTCCTCCTGGCCTTGAACAAACAATTCTAGTTGCCAAGAGGTTTGATAGGTTTGCAGGTATGGGGCTATTATCTAGTTAGGATGATATTAACAAAGCTCACTTAAATATGGGTAGGGGCCTACCAAAATTAGAATTTTACAATTTTCGCAGAAACTGTGATTTTGGGTGGGTTCTGTGAAAAAGCGCAGGTTCTGTGAAAAAAGTACAGGCACCGTGCTTTTGACAGGCTCCCTGAAAATAAAACAACTTACTGAAAATAAAATGCTGGCCCACTCTGGGAAGCCAGCAGTCCTCATGGCCACTGCAGCCTATCTATGCAGCTGAGAGAAGAAGAGCAGAGATGGGTTGCTGGCATAGCAAGATGGCTGCTGCCCCGACCCTCTCCGCTGACTGGCTGGAAGGGCCGTCTATCGTATGACCCTGATCCTTTCCAATCAGCAGTGAGGGGCAGGATTGCATGACAGACATCCCTTAGCCAATCAGTGGCAAAGGGCAGGACTACATGATGGACCTGCAGCCAATCAGCAATGCAAGGCGGGGCCACGGGGCTCCTTGGCTAATCAGAGGCATGAGGGAGGCCTGCTGCACTCTGCCCATAAAAATGGATGCCAGCCCTATATTTTTCCCACAAAACTGACGGGCAGCTGCCTCAAGTTTAGTAGACCCCTAGACATGGGATAAACAAGTCTCAAAGTCCTCAGAAAATATAGGAGCCATGGGTTCATGTACCAACAGGACTTCTTCCTCCACTTGCCATCTCTCTCTCTCTTTTTTTTTTTTTTAAGTGTAAATCTCCCTAGCTGTATTTTTCTCCTGATCCACATATTTGGTAAGGGATCGATTGCATCAGCATGGTAGAGCATGTAGTATTGCCAACTTTAGCAATTTTATTCAGATTCTCGTGCTAATTGGTATTCTTCTGAAAGTGTCAGTTCTTGAAATCTTGTGATTATATGAGGATCTTGGCTTCTTAAAGAAGTTTGAGTCTTAACAGGTTCAGAGGAAGAGCTTAAAAAAATAATTGGGTGAAACCTCATCGTAAACTAGAAGAATCAGCCCTTTATTTTATTTTAAAATAAATATTGACATTCTTAAGCCAATAAGGTTTCTGGGGCCAGGTACATGACTTCCTAGTATCTGAGGTTGACAAGACTGGGTATAAAATACTAAACCATGGCCTTCCGTCGTCTGTTAGGGATGAAATCAGGAAGGTCAAAGTGCAATTGGAATTAGCAAGGGATGTGAAGGGTAACAAGATGGGGTCCTACAAGTATACTGACAACAAAAAAAGGAAGTCAGAGAAAGTGTGGGTCCCTTACTGAATACGGAAGACAACCTAGCGATAGATGATGAGGAAAAGGCTGAAGTACACAATGCATTTTTTACTTTGGTCTTTACAGCCAAGGTTAGCTCCCAGACTACTGCACTGGGCAACACAGTATGGGAAGAAGGTGAGTAGCCCTCAATGGTGAAAGAATAGGTTAGGGACTATTTAGAAAAGCTGAACGTATACAAGTCCATGGGGCTGGATGGAATGCATCTGAGGGTGCTGTGGAAGTTGGCTGATGTGATTTTGAAGAGCTGCTGGCCATTATTTTTGAAAACTTGTGGTGATCAGGGGAAATCCCAGATGATTGGAAAAAGGCACATATAGTACACATCTTTAAGAAAAGGAAAAAGGAGGATTCAGGGAAGTACAGGCCAGTCAGCCTCACACCTGAGTCCCTGGAAAAATCATAGAGCAGGTCCTCAAAGAATCCACTTCTAAGCACTCGAAGGAAGAGAAAGTGATTAAAGGAACAGTCAGCATGGATTCACCAAGGGCAAGACATGCCTGACCAACCTGATTGCCTTTTGTGATGAGATAACTGGCTCTGTGGATTTGGGGAAAGGAGTGTAGTTTACTAAGGTTTTTGATATGGTCTCCCATAGCATTCTTGCAAGGAAGTTAAGGAAGTATGGATTGGATGAATAGACTGTAAGGTGGATAGAAATCTGGCTGGATTGTTGGGCTTAATGGGTAGTGATCAATGGCTTGATATCTAGTTGGCAGCTGGTATCAAGTGGAGTGCCCTAGGGGTCTGTCCTGAGGCCAGTTTTGTTCAATATCTTCATTAATGATGTGGAAAATGGCATAGAGTGCACCCTCAGCAAGTTTGCGGATGACACCAAGCTGGGGGGGAATAGTAGATATGCTGGAGGATAGGGCTAGGATTCAAAGCAACCTAGACAAATTGGGAGGATTGGGACAAAAGGAATCTCATGAGGTTCAACAAGGACGAATGCAAAGTCCCATGCATTGCTACAGGCTGGGGGTTGACTGGTTGGGCAGCAGCTCTACAGAAAAGGACTTGGGGGTTACAGTGGACAATAAGCTGAATATGAGCCAACAGTGTGCCATTGTTGCAAAGACGGCTAATGGCATACTGGGCTGCATTGGCAGGTGTGTTGCCAGCAGGTCAAGGAAAGTAATTATTCCCCTCTATTCAGCACCGGTGAGGTCATATCTGGAGTAGTGTGTCCAGTGTTGGGCCCCCCACTACAGAAATGATGTGGACAAATTGGAGAGAGTCCTGCAGAGGGCAAAGAAAATGGTTAGGGGGTTGGGGCACATGATTTCTGAGGAGAAGTTGAAGGAACTGGGCTTGTTTAGTCTGAAGAAGAAAAGACTAAGGGGGGATTTAATAGCAGCCTTCTACTACCTGAAGGGTGGTTCCAAAGAGGATGGAGCTAGACTGTTTTCAATGGTGGTAGATCACAGAAGAAGCAGCAATGGTGTCAAGTTGCAGCAAAGGAAGTTTAGGTTAGAAATTAGGAAAAACTTTCTTGCTAAGAGGGTGGTGAAGCACTGGAACTGGTTACCTAGAGAGGTGGTGGAATTTCCATCCTTGGACGTTTTTCAGGCCCAGCTCAACAAAGCCCTGGCTGGAACAATTTAGTTGGGGATGGTTCTTCTTGAGCAGAGGGTTGGGCTAGATGACCTCCTAAGGTCCCTGTCAACCCTTCTTTTCTATGATTCTATGATTTCTGCATGAATAACATTCATTTGGCAGCACCTGAAGGAACACAATATCCCAAAGGTAAACAGGTTATATCATGCTCCTTGCTAATTGCATCATCTTATCAAAGGAAAATCTTATCTGTATGTGGGAGATTGCAATGGTTGCGTCTTTGAACAAGTTTTAATAAAACTGAGATGCATTCATGTGTTTCCTAGAAGCATTTTTGGATGTCTGTAAAGCTGCAGTTGGGTTGCTGCCTTTGGGTATAAAGGGAGTGGTGTTGGATGATTTGGAAAAGGAAAAATCAGTGTGCTGTTTCTTTTGGCTTTCATGAAGAATATTACTCAATTGAAGATTAAGGATCTTCTTGTCATTGTTATAGTATTATTTGCAGAAATGTATACATTAATAGGCTGTGAATGAACAGGGTGGTGTGAGTTCCTCTACTATATATAACAGAAATGAGGATGAATTGTTAAATTCTGTAATGAAAATTCTGCCCTCTCTCCTCTTCAGTAGTAATAATACATCTCAGACTTTTCACGTCTTGATTTTAAAAAACCCTGTGCTGTACTTTATGATGAAAACATTCAAACAGAAATGCAGAAGATTCTTGATCAATGTTATTCATGTAATATCTTTAAGTGATCTCTAGCATTATATTTATACAAAACTCCCATGCCAACTTTAACTGCAGCAGTATTGAGGGACTGGAGTCATTTTTCCTACGCAGGATATCCTGCTCACCAGGAAGAGGAATTACTGAAACACATCTACCTTAAATAACTTATTTTTTGGAGGACAATAAATTAATGTTTGCTAGTTACATTAAACTTCTGTTGTTATTCTTACTAACCCTAAAGCAGAGAAGGTCATTCTAACTGAATTCTGCTTGGCACAGGACCCAGTCCAGGGAAGGAAGAAATGGAACTGTGGATACAAGTAACCTTTATGTCCTGCCAGTTCCAGGGACTGCTGGAAACTGGTTTATAACTAAGAACCACTCTCAATACTGGCCTAAATCATGCTACAAATTTCCTAACTGGCAAATGGGCATACTTCTGGAGTATTCCTATCACCACATTTTCCTATGGTCCCCTCCATACTGAGGGGTACAAAGTGGAGAATAATTCTAAGGTTCTTTATGCTCAGGAAATAAACCCTACGTCAACTTCCATACTACTTTGTGCCATTAGAACTGACATCTCACTTGGAAAAGTGTAATGTGCTTTTGCGAAGACAATCTAACAATTCTGGTAGAGAATAATGTGCTCTGAATCACCGTGGACAAATATTTTCACAGCAGTTTAAAAATGATATCAAGCATTATTCTAGCAGCCATTAGGAAATGAGAGACTACATCTAACCATCATGTTCTTGGGAAAAGTATTTAGATTTGCTTTAGAAATTAGCAGCTTATTTAGTTAAGAGGCATTTGAGAGATTTATAGGTACATTAGGATTTCATAGGAAAAGCCTGACAAAGATGAATTAATTTAGCTAATACAAGAGCTAGAGAGGACAGCATCAGCCACTCAAAGATGAAACCATTTTTTAATTTATTTATCAAGCTGTACTTATAGTGCTGGACAATTATGTTGAGAACAAAAGAAACACCTCTTGAAACTGCTTGATTAGCTAGTGGATTTCACTGTGTGGGAAGTCTCAGAGTCAAGTACTGAAGTTCAGAGTTTCCCAATTCATCTATTGGAAGTGGTCTACTCCCATAGCATTGAATCTCCTCCTTCCTTCCAGATGCTAAATAGCATTAAAGACAGTGGAAAAATATGTTAATGTACTTGCTTAATAGTCTTCCACATAAATATTTTGTTGTTGGCCCAGAGATGGTTTGCAATTGCAAATGGCTGGAGACCCTGTCTGGACAATCATGTATAGGGAAGTGGTCCATAATCTGTCCAATAATATATGGTGCACACCAGAATAAAGCCTGAGTTATTACAGATTTAAAAAGGTAAGATGGATTTTATGACCAATAGCTATTGGGTCAGGTTGGAACCAAATAAAGTCTCATGAGTCAGCATATAAAACTGATGGCCTTGGGGGTCAGGTAGGAATTTCCCCCACAGCTATGCTCAGATGGCAAGTTATGTTACAGGGTATTTTTGCTTTATGAAGCATTATATACTATCTGCCAGTAGATGGAGGGTACTGGACTGGAAAGGCCAGTAGTTTAATCCAATGCAGAAAAACTTACGCATGAGGCAGTGAGAAAACCTGACCTCTCTTTTAGAGGAGAGAATTTTTTTTTAACTTGTAACAGATAAATGAATGAAGCAGCCCCTGTCTGTTCACAAGACCTCTCCCGTGTCAATCAAATTCCAGATATCTCATTTTGTTAATCTGCATAGAAGATAGAGAAATCTCCTGACTTGTCCATAGATCCATAGTTCCAACAATAAACCACTTCATTTTTCCTTGGTGAGTATAAACTGCTCATCTTCTCCCAACCATTAGACACCTGCCTGAACTGGCTTTCTTTAAACAAGCCTCAATTATGAATTCAAGCTTCTGCCATACAGGTGTATACAGAGAAAGACTGAACTCAATTTCAAGCACATCACACAAAATCTCTCACTCAAAATTGGTTTGATCAATACTATAACAGATAGAACCTCCCATGCTGAAAAACAAATGACAAGAGACTGTATTATTTCTCTTCCCTTTCTTTACAATTTTTGGCGCAACAGGAACTTCTAATGTAAAAATCTAGATAGGGAGGCTCAGGGCACTTATACATGTGATGGACCTCTGCTCTGACATGTGCTAACTGGCATGCATCAGAGCGGACTCAATTAATCAGTTAATTGTGACTGCTGGGAGTCTGCTGGAGCATGTTAATTAGTGCACTCCAGCAACCTCCACATCATGTGTATTCAGCATCTCAGCGTTTCAAAATGATGGCAGGGGCACTATTTTGAAGCACTGGACACTGAATACACATGATGCTTGCAGGTGCTTTAAGTAGAGCAGCTCTTGGGGTGTTTATACACGTGCTCCAGGAGTGTGCATGTGGGGGAGGGAGGGAGTGTTGCTTTAATTAGAATGGCTCTCGGATTTGCTCTAATTAAAGCACCCAGAGTATCATGTGTATCAGCATCCCCGTGCCAAAAAGTGGCAGTTTGGGTGCTTTAACCAAAGCTCATCGAATGAGCATGGGATTAATCAAGTCTGCTCCGATGCACTGTAATTACACCACGTCAGAGAAGTCTTGCTGCACATGTATAGGTGCCCTCAGAGCCAATCTAATTAAAGTGCCAGGCCCCCTCCATTACGGAGCATGTGTATAGACACCTTTAGGCTAGAGGAGCAGGGGCAAAAATTTAAACAAGAACATAAATGCCAACACAACAGATGCTGTTACAAGCACATACAGGTTGACAACAAGCAGCGTCTATATTTGAACCCACAAACTGGAGCAAAAAAAAAATTCATTATTTGCACCCATAGTCTACCAGGAACATAACTGAAGGTTCAAATGACAGGGCTGGGCTGATGTGCAATAAAAATGTGACCCTAGGTTTGCTGACACGAGGTCACAAAGAAAATTAGTAACAAAATAAAACAAAACCATTCACCCAAACCCATGCCTACTTACTATTTCCCTTCCTTCCACAGCTCTGCTGTGGCCATTAAAAGCATGGCATTCTATAACAGGGATTAGGATTAAGAGTCAGTTGTATTCTAACAGAAAATAACTTTGTGTTTCCTCTTTTACCCCTTTCCATAGTTTGGTTTTCATCATGGAAACAGCTTGTCATCAGCACCCGAGTTCCCAGTTCCATAACCAGTATGCTTTCAGTGTCCATTTTACAAATTCTTTTCTTTTGAATTAAAAAAAATACTCCTAAATGTATTAGTCTGTAAATTGCTGCAATGAGAAAAAGGATCCAAAATCAGTTTACAAAGTTTTAGATTTTCACCTAGATTTAAAAGTATTTTGCATACTATTTTCTGTAAATAGAGAAATGAAGAGATTGTTTTTGAACAAGCTACAGTATAATCCACTCAAGAAATACATTTTATACTGCTCTTCCAAATTCAGTCTCATCTGCTTGAGACCGCACATACAGACACTCATCCAAATGTATTACATACAAAATAGATGGCCAACAGCTCAAACTGCTGACTGACAAGGGGCAGAAAACATGCGAATCATCAACATGATCTGGCATTCAGAACTGTTCCGCTGAGCAGAAATTCACTGATGTTGTATCAGAAAAAAAGTTACCTCCGTTTTCCGCATAACTGTCAGAAAGAACCCCAAATCACATTTTGATCAAGGAAACAAACTCCTGTTGGATATTCACAATTGACAATCTACTGTCCTTCATTCTTCTTCAATCTCCCTCCCATGGTCACTGATAAATGAGGGTAACCATTACCAGGCATGGAAATAGTTGTGGACCATATCATTGTCGGTCACGGACTGATGGGAGCTCCTAGCTGGCGGGGCCCACTGCACCCAAGCTTGGGAGCTACCTGCTGTGAGACCCACACACCCCTGTGGCTGGAAGATCACAGCTGGTGCGATCTTCCAGCTGCAGGGGCACTCTGTGTGGCTGGGAGTCTTGTCAGCTGACCTGGGCTCTCAGCTGGGGGAGTTTGCTTCTTGCTGGTGCAGGGGGAACTCGAATGGGGCTGCCCCTGCACTGGCAATGAGGTGCAATGGAATCTAATGTGGAATCCACACAATTATGCCTCCTGCCAAGCACATGTGGCATGGCAGGAGGTACAATTTTGTAGATCCCACATTCCATTCCATTGCATCTTTACCTGCTTGTATAGAGGGGCCCTGATACAAGTCATACTCCCTGACCTGTCTTCCTAGCACACATACTGAAATCCTGAGATTACAGTAAAATCTCTGGTATCCAGCATAAGTGGGGAGTGCCGGGTGCCAGTTATGTAAAAATCCCAGATATCTAAAAACGAGGGGGGTGGGGCTTAGCGGTGGGGTAGGGTGGTGGATGGCAGTGGTGGTGCACAATGGTTGCATGTGGCTTACATGCGGTGATGGATGTGCAGGTGTAGTGTGCGACTGAATGAAGTTTTAGCAATATGTAATGCAAGGCCAGAACATGCTAGCTTAAAACATTTTGGCATTTGAATATGTTATATTTAGATTAAGTAATAACAGCATTATATTGATAGTAATATGGGGGGGGTGTTTACACACACACACACACACACACACACACACACACACACACACTAACCATATTACTATCAATACATTGCTCGATTATATATTATATAAATCATTACACATAATATATATTATGTATAATCATTTATATAATATGTAATTGAGCGATGTATTTTTTAATATAGTGTATTAAGGATAATAGTATGATTGATTGAATTAATGAACAGTGTATGGACTGTTTAGAGTGTTCCTGTGTAAGCAAGAGGAGGTTTGCTAAGGAGCTGGATATGCAAGTTACTAGACAACAAACTGTTAGATAGATGGCTAAAGAACCAGTCTGACCAGGTGCAGAGGAGCTAGGCTAAGCAACAGGATAAAGGAGGAATTCTGCACGTCCTGCAATTTAGCTTAAACAACTTTCAAGGTTGGAAGACTGACTTTTACAACAGGAGTGACCTCGAGCTGAGATAATAACAAAAAGAATGATGAGAAACAACATCTGGACAGAGACGTGCGGATGGAAAAGTACCCTGACTTTGGATGAAGACTTGAAATCCCTATAAAAGTGGGATCCACCAATGCTGAGATGGGGAATTCACACTCTGCAACCTTCACTGGATAACAGGGGCATCTGTTCACCCCCACTCCCATCATCCTCAATGAACCTGGGCTGGCCACACAGTGCTAACATTGAGCAAACAAGCTGGTAACTAGAACATCTGAATAGAGTGTTTGTTTGTTTGTCTGTGTTGGCGTGAATGATATGTTAGTGTATGTCTTATTATGTTTTTGTTTTATGTAATCAATAAATGCAGCATCTTACCTTATCCCCCCCTTATAAGGTCTCGCTCATCTTTTGAGCAAAAGGCAATTTAGATAACATGGGGTGGTAGATGGTGGCAGTGGCAGTTAATAGAGTATTCTGGCTAGTAGAATGCTGGATAACAGAGATTTTACTGTGTTAGTTTTGGAAATGCTAAAACTAAAGCCAGCAGCAGCTGCCATGTCTGTTCTGGTAAGTTTGGGGAGCCATGAGTTGGCTTGTATATTCCTGGAATTCATATACTGGTTTAATCTAAAGTTTTAGACATTCTGTATATGTACTCAAAGAATTTCACTCCTCATGTCCATTTGTGGATGAAAAATAGCACAGCAAGCATGAATACAACCAAAGTCTCAAACAGTTGGCCATCCCAACGATGACAAGCTATACTCAGATTAAGTTAATACAAAACAGTCTGCCAAGTCTAAATTTGATCGAAATCATAAATAATTTAAGTGTAACAATATGTACAAATCATAACATGTGTTATTTATTTTGCTTTTAGAGTCTTCTCCTTTCTAATTGTAACTGAAGGTATCATGAATACTGTTACAAGATTTTGAAAGGTTAAGACTTTCAGATACACAGGGCAAACTCAGCCTGAATCTATATCAAGTCAAACTGTGTCCAAAGATCAAATTCCTTGGCTGCTGAGGTACTATTTTTTTTGCTGAAAACTGTGCTTCAGATCCCCACCCTCAGTTAACCAGCACATGCCTCATAACTAAAATATTTCCACTCTGGGAGTTCACAAAATGAACTAGAACCTAATACTTGTAATTTAGAAACAGCTGGAAGTAAACTTTGCTTTTTGTTAATCTATCATTCCATCTACAAGAAACATAACGCACTACAACAGTGTCTGGGATGTTAACTGAAAGTAAATAAAGCTATAAATAAATAAAACAGTGGTAAATTAGAAAAGGTATTATATTTAAACAGAGAAGAATAGCTTAATGAACATGCACATTTAGCTATGATTAAAAATCTGTGCCTTTTGTATCTTGTTAAGGTACAGGCGTAAAAATATATCACCCACTAAACAAATATTTATTAATCTTTTCAGGATATCAAAATATATTCTGTGTAATCCTTGTCAATAGAAAAGCAATTCTGAACATAAAGATGCAACAAATAACACAAATAAAAGCAGTCTGAACAAAAACCTTTTTGTTAATTCAGGTCCTGGATACTTTGGAGGCCTGAATAGTTTGTAGCATTTTGCAGTTTTCTTCAACATGGCTGTGCAGCTTGCTCTCTACCAACCTCTTCTGGTTTCTCTGAAGCAACAACATAAGCTTTTTTTGGTCTTGTCTTTCTCCACATTTTCTCAGTTTAGTGAAGATATTTCTGCTTTGCTGAAGTTCATGTTTTATTTTGTTTTTCACTTTTTCATCATATTTGCCTGTTTGCAGTTGTTTGTCCTCAGTTTTTTTGCAGCGACACCTTCACTTCTAACAGGCTTAGCTGGCATGGGATTGATTCTTGTTTCCATGGATACTGATTTTCTCCGGTTGGGTGTGTTTGCATGTGCTTTTACCCCATACATCTAGAAGTATTGAGAAAAAAAATGAGAATTACATTCAGAGAATTTCTAGTCCATGAAGCTGGACTCCAGTTTTATGCAATAGCTAAGTATACAGAACCCTTGAAAAAGTATAGGAGATATTTTCTCTATTATGAAAAATACTGGCTCAAATATTTCCTCAAAATGGTCTTCCTTTTTTAAAATGTGACTCACTTGAACAAAGGTTTAGAATTAAGAGCATGCCTCTGCTTCTAGAAATTCTCATACTTGGTTAACTGTATCATTTATACACTTGTCCTAAACTTAATCCTATGTTTAGACCCCAAAAGATTTACAGCACACGAGAATCTTCTCCAAACTCAGGAAACAGTTCAACGTCAGTTCAGTGCTATTTCATGCTAATGCGATTATTGATGACTTAATTTAGAAAATGTCCACGTGTTCTAAAGTCTTTAGACTCAGACTAAGTACTTGGTAAAATATATATTTAGCAAACTTACTTTAAAATTCCATTTCTTTGAGCTAAACTAAAAATTGTGAAGTGAGGGAGAATATATACTCTGTATGAATGTGTTAATTTTCATTAAGAAGGAATAGACCACCCACATACCATAATGGATTTGAAACACCATAATTATATTTTACGAAATTAATCGCACACCTCCAGATTCAGCATGACAAGTGGCTCTTATTTTAGCAATCCTCTATGCCAAAAAAAAATCATTTAGGATTATTTAAGATGATACAGCTAAAGAAAGAGAATTTGAGCACTGAATTGTAATCAGAATTTCCTCAAAGGCGATGCCATTTTGTGGGAACAGAACTGGGGTTCTGGTTACTTAATTTTCCTTCTAAAAGTTTCTCCTGAGATGGTTTGAAAGGCAGCATGATAAAAAAAAAAGTCAATGCATCAGAGCCATGATCTGGAGAAATTTCTTTCTGCAGTTGTACTTGAAACACACTAAAGGTAGCCCTAATGAAGAGTATGATATGCCTACACTACCAAGAAGTAAAAATAGTACTGATAGCTCAAGGAGTAAATTCAGCTTCTTTACATGGTCCCAAATGAATGATTTTTTCTTTTCATCAAGGAAAAGGGCATGCTTTAAAAATATTTATCAAAGAGCAGGATGTAAATGGAATAAGACCTAACTCTAACAACTAATGAAACTAAGTGGTAGTGGTAATATATATACACACACCACATACAAAAAATATTATATAAACTTGAAATTAGCCTACAATAATTAATTATTGCAATGTTGTGAGCCTGTGAGTTTAATTTTGTAGCCAAGGATCTCAGAGCCAAAGATAAGAACAAAAGTATCTTACCCTAGAAGCAGTTTATGGGCTCAACGCTTTGCTTTAGTGTGAATACTCACCTTCTGTTTCCTTATGGTTTCTTGGGGTCTAGGTGGAAAGGTACATGGGACTCTTCCATGATACATGTGATAGGGTAAAGGAAGGGTGGGGTCTAATGGTACCCATGGGACTGAAAGAGTTGCTGGAACATTAGGCAGATTGCTGTGAGTTTTATGTAAATTATATGATGCTCTGGTCACTTTCCCAAGGGAGCTCTTGTAGATTGCAACTGATGAATCTCCTGCAGCATGAGTCAACAAATATGACCCTTCCTGAAAACTATAAAGTATAGACATATCACTAATCAAATTCAAAATGTATTAATAAGATAAAAAAATAAGCAGCATTAATTTAGGCCAACCACCTGATCTCTTTATAAGCAGAAGTGGTACAAAGAGCTTCAACTGGATGAAGAGATGTATAAACATGGCATGTATAGCTAATAAGTTACCATCTTATATTTTCAAAATAAAGCATATTAATATCTAATTAATGCAATTAACCTGTAACTTGCTTATAAACCAGGAAATAAAAATGTATTGAATATATTAATAAATTATCTCTTTGCATCCTATTATCTTTAGTTATTTAGGCACAGATTCAGCAAAGCACATAGGCTCAACTAACTCCCCATCAGAAACAACTTAGTCATAGGCCATAAAAGAGAACACAGAAATGATAGTTAAAAAAAATCCTTAAAATGCAATGTTTCACATACATGCCAGGCATTAAATCTGATTTTCAAAACAAACTATACATTGGTTAAGTGACTGTCAGATTGAAGAATTATAATGTTTAAACAAATAAAAATAAAGCAGAGAAAACAAGAAGTAGATGTTAAGACTATAAAGAGAGAAAAACAGATGCAGCTATAAGCCATCTGAAGTGCAGAGGAGCATAAGCAATAAGCCTAGAAAAAAGCTACCAAAGGAAAAGTATAATTGTAGCTCCAAAATCTTACAGCCCAGTCCCAGAAACTCCTCAGTCAGGTGAGAAGTGTCAACTGGATTTATTGCTTGAGGAAACTCTGTTCTTTTGACTAAGTGTTTTATGTGACCAGACTTTTTATATAGCATCATATATGCAAAAAAGCTGTAACCCTGAAATACTCCTAAGCACCACTACAATGTGCTGTGTAAATGTAACTTAAGTGTTTTATGGTTTGTATTTGAATTACCTCAGTTAAAACAAAAAAACAACAGAAGGGTAAACAATCATTTTACAAAAGAGATATTATTTTGGAAGATCTGGTGTCATCTACAACTAAACCCCGCCCCCCCCCCCAAATTAGAAAAGTACTTACTCAGTTACTTTCTTCAAGACATTTCGAAGAATATTTAATGAATTTGCAGGCCTGTGAGAAATAAATTCAGAGGGAATTACATGTATAGGCCAAGCTTATCAAAATAACTGCACATTTTGTGCGCGCAATCTGAGACCAAAGGGACCTGCTTTTCAGAGGGATATTCTGACAAGCTAGTTTAAGCAGTCTTATGCAATCTGTAGCCAACATAGAGAGGCATGGGAATCTCTCTAGATACAAAAATAAGGCTACTTCAGGTATGTGTGCTCTCAAGCCTGGTCTATGAAACAAGGATATAGACTGTCAAGAAGACTGATAGACTGCTTGCCTCTGAAAGGACTGGCAATTGCTTGCAGTCACTGGAAAGATCAGGTCACAAAGGAGATGATTAGAAAAAACACTACTAATAAAGAGATGGCTGCTGATGCAGCAGTGAGGAGGAAACACCAGTTGTTTGGACACACCTACCAGCTAAAGAATGACTATCTGCTAAAAGACAGCATTCTTCACCCTTGTGGTAGGCAGCTAGGAAGTTGCCAGAAAACATATGAGAATGGTGTGGCAAGATCCAAAGACATTGTTTGCTGCCGTGTAAGTCAGAACTCAGTGTGGAGTCACATTACCTGGATGGCTGATTTTTAGCTTGTGGGACAGAGAAAAGAGGATAGTTTAACAGTATCAGGCCCCTTCAGAGGTGTCTCAAGTTGTACATCCCCAAAATCAGCTTTGTTACTGAAAACCTTGTCAGTCATATGAAGTTTGACTTTATTCAAACTAAAGCTTGAACTCCTGAATCCATGGAACTCTCTAGATAGCAAAACTCTCATAAATTAAGATTTACTATAAGAAACAACTAATAAAGCGTCAACTGATTTTTAAACATGAATTCAAGACAGCTTCCAAAGCTCTTACAATAAAGAAAATATACTCACTTAAATGATGCCAACTTTTCTTTTAAATATTGTGGAGAAATCTCACCCAGCGTAATAAGGTTTGATGTAAAGGCATCAACGTGTCCTGAAAAACATCAAAACAGCAAAGAAACAACAAAACAGAACAAACTGGTCAGAAAAAGACAGTTAAATAAGTGCTGATACAATGTAATTTAAAGAAAACCTTCAAAAGTTTTGTCATCAACAAATAGAGAGACAAAAAGCAATTCTAAGTTTAAATGTATTCTGCATAGTAACTGAAAACAAGGCAACTGAATGCACATAATTATTTAATTATATACACATTTGTTCTCCCAGGGGAAACTGTCCAAGGAGCAATTTAACCCTGGTTAAATTTCCAGCTTATTTTTCTCCTGGAGCAACCATTTTTGCTCTGGGATAAAAATCCTGAATATCTGCATTCTCCTAGGAAAGCAGGGACTCTTATAGGAGCAAGTGAATGTCTGTACATGGCCACCGTTTCCTCAAACTCATGCTTCCAAGACATACTAGACTGAGACAGGCAATTATTTTGGGTGGAGGGCTGCTTAATGAGTTTTGGCAAGCTGTCGAAGGCCGCAAGGGTAGCCTCGCCCCTTGACAGGTACCCCGCCCCCCAGTTGCCATCTTGGGTCTTGAAATCCTGCCCCCTAATCCCTGACCTTTGTCACCGGAAATCCCTCCCCTTGCCTCCAGAAGTACTTCTTTTGGCAAGGGGGTTTGCCATCTTGGAACCAGAAAAAACCCCAAATTATAGACTAAAAATCAAATGCTGACAATAGCGTATTTTAAATGTTATTAAAAAATATATTTTTGCCCTGATTTGTGTGCATTTTGTTGTGTATATAGAGGTGATTGCATAATGGCTCAAAATGAATTCTTACTCTTCCATACCGTGGCGGGTGGGAGTGGGTGGGTATGGGGTTTGTGGGGGACTGTAGGCACGTGTGTAGATGCATGTGTGTGTATGTGGGGTAATGTGTGGAGGAGGAGAGTGGCTAGGAGAGTGCTTGGGGGGTGTGGGTACATGTGCATGGCAGGGTGTGCTAGTGTAGCAGTGCGCAGGGCTCCCTCCAGAAGTGTGTGGGTGTGTGTGTGGGGGAGGGTGGTGGTGGGTGCGGTGATTGTGTGGGGAGGGTGTGGTTGTGGAGTTTGTGGGTATTGTGGGGTGCACATGGGACCCCATCACACACCTCCCTGATCCATTCAGCCCCTGCCCCACAACAGCCACCTCCCTGCCACCACCACCAATGTGCAGCCCCAGCACTTTTCACATTCAATATCAAGTATCAGCTGACAATCCAACATGTGATGTTTCAGGAGACTGTTGGCTAGACTCACTCCTAATGGACTAAAGTCTACAAAAGGACAACTGGCTTCTTTCAGACCTCATACACTTGTCATTTCTTTTGAATTCAGTACTTTTTGGAAGATTAAGTAGACAGATTTGATACTTTGCATTTTTAGTTTAACAATCCAAGTTATTACTGCATATCTATGTTAATTCTCCCTACCTCTGTCATCTTCATACCTCTGTATTTTCTATCATACAATTACAAACATTGTTTCCTATTCTCAAATCATAGCCAAGACAGCCTCAAACATGAAAATGCTCAAATCTAATTTCAGGGCACCTCTACTTTTAATCAGATATAGTACTTTTTCTGATGCCTGTTAAATAACAGATTGAAAACCTGTGACATTTATTCATATACCCATACTGTAAGTATATCTTAGTGGTATGATTTTAACCTTCCCCAACCTTTTTTTTCCCTTAAAGGATTAAAGTCTCCTCTTCCCTATTCCGAAGAAAGTAAATTAGTCTTTTCCATTAGTTTTCACTTCAGCACTTACAGAAACTTGACAATACATTAATATAGCGGTGTTCAACTGGCACCCTGCAGATTGCATGCAGTCCCCAAGGGTTTAACCTGGGTTCCTGTTCTAGGCACCACTCCTGCCTGGGTCCCTAGTCCCTGGTCTGGGCACCACTCCTGCCACTATATTGACAGCTGCTGCACTGGAGTCTCCAGGCCCTCTTCCTTTTCCAGCTTGACCCCACCCCTGGGGTTGAGCCCAAGAGAGCCCATGGCTAGGTGGCTGGGGAGACCCAGTGACCCTATGCAGGGCAGTGTGAGGTGCCAAGCACATTACAATGGGACACCTGTGGTGTGGTGCAACTGAAAGGACCCATGTGGTAGTGATGCAGGGACAGTACAGTAGGAGGTGCTGAGGGGGAAGGGGAAGAGGCGCACACAGCACAGAATGGCATATAAGCCCATAAGGCATGCAGCCCAGGGAGGTGTGGCTATGTGGTATCCAGCTCAGAATCTGGACAGCCCGGCATTCATACAAATGAAGGAGTAACAAGGAGGAAAAAAACCTTCGATTTAGTATTCTTCTTGCTGGTTGAGGGGAAAAAATTAAAAAGCAGCTTTCATTTTATACCAATGTAGCTGACTATATTATTTTGCTCAAAACAAGCATGAATATCCTGCTTTGGAAATACTGCAAAGGTTGCTTACCTTTTTTTGCAAATCTGCAGTGACCGTGTAGCATTTTCTGTTATGTTACTACTACGGTGCATCCCTGGAACATGAGAGTAAATATACCCATATTTTCCAGGCTTAAACCTGAATTATTTCTTAGCCAGAATGATACAATTTAACAGAAGTAAAAGTACCTGAAAAGTAGAGACAAAGTCTACCTACCAAAAGGTGGAAGAGTACTTTTTTTTTTTTTTTTTTTTTTATAGGTTTGCTAATATAATAAGAAGCTCAAACTATGTTGGTCAAAGATTACACACAGAAATCAGTTTTTCTTGTCCCTTTTAATTTGTTTTCATTAGCTACACTAACTGCTGCTGCATCCCCTTTGCCCTAGAATCCCTTAAAAAGTGGCTTCTATGGCATATCTACAAAAATGGACTCCATCTATGCCGAATGCCCTACTTGAGGAACATGTGGCCTAAAGCAGCAGCTACATTATATGTTCAAGACTGTCAACAAAAGGAGGGCTGCTGAGTCTGTCCAATGGTGGTAATTTGTATTTGTGCACATTGTTTGTCCACTTTACTAGATCATACAAATCACACCTTCAGTTTAATAGGACACTGCAATTTTATGCAGGAGACTAGTTACAGTTCCATCTTTTCATTTCCTGAGCTGGCAGCACTGCTGAGTCAGTGGGTGGACCTCTGTGTTTCTTCACAGAGCTGCAGATCTATGGGAGAACCCTTGCAGAGCTGAAAAATAATCATTCTAAACAATTAGGGATGACACTGGCATGGGTCCAAAGAGACTCTCATCAAGCCTTAGCCAGAAACAAGGCTAGGTACAGACTTTCAAAAAGCAGAATCCATCTAAATTGTGCTGTAAGTGGTGCAAGTTTAGATTGGCAGAGAACAGAACACACATTTGTCACAACCCAAAGTTGTGGATTTTTTGATTGTGTGTGCTTCGGCACCGCTAAATTATGTTCCCGCCGAATTGCAGCTCTTTTGCACGATGGAGTGTTCTGTTGTTATAGAGAACCCGGGTGCAGAAAAATGTTTCCCGCCGTTTTGTAGCCTTCTTTGCATTGTGCATTTCGTGATGCATGCTGCAAAGGAGTTCCCGCCATTTGTATTAAAATTTGAGCCACATTATTGGCTGGTCTTAATTTAGGCACACGTGGCGGCTAGCTATTGGCTTGCTAGCCGTACAAAAGGCTTGGGTGGTTTCCGCCCAAGTTGGAGAGAAAGACGGAGAGAGACACGGAGAGACGGATCTCCAAGCGCTGTGGGTCCTTTCGAACCCAGCGCGTCTTTCTTAAGAAGGCGATAGAGGCTCCAATTGCCGAACCCCCGGAGCCTAGCAAACTCCAGGGCACTACTTACCGACGGCCTCTAGCCTCTCCCCGTCGCCGATTGCAGCCCAGACGTATCCCTATCCTGCAACCACATTTTCGAACCCACAGAGTCTTAACAGCTCCGGGGGACCTGGGTACCAAACAAGAACCCACGGAAATACAGCTGCTCCGTGAGAAAAGAACCGAGAAAAGAATTGCTAAACCCGCGGAGCCTAAACCACTCCGGGGTCAAGGAACCGAGTTTATCAGAGTCCTCCAACGAGGATTGAAGCGGAGCTGTACCTGGAAACTGTCCAGCCTGCACTGCGACCATCTCAGGTGTAAGTAAATAATCTTTTCAATCAACCATTACGCCTCCGTGACTGATTCTAGCTCGAGCGTACTGCTCCACCCCACGACTTTTCTCCGGCCCCGCGTGCCCGGGCTGCCGGCCACAGCCCGCGTGCACACAGACGGGCCCGGCTCCGGCTAGGACGGGACCGGGAGCCGGCCCGCACAACATTCACCCTTCAGTGGATGGGGGCAAATCTTAGACTGGGTTTCGCCAGTTTTAAACCAGTTTGCGTGCACTGAACTTCTTTTCTGTTAAGGATAGAGACTGGTTTTGCATGCCAAACTATAAATCGGTTTCCAATCACTTACACTGGTAAAAGTATTATGTCTGTACCTGGCCAAAAACTGCAATGAATGGAATTAAGATGGAGGTTCAGATTACAAGAAAGAACTCCTTGGAAAGTTAAAATGCAGTTCAATGTCAGTGCTGATACCCACAACTCATCCCACACATACATTAGAATTACTTCGAAGAAGTGGTTTAAAACCCAGAGGATCCTGAAAAGGAGAGTTAGAAATTTTTTTTCTTCTGAAGTTCACCTATCATGTCCTGGCTACAAAGTATTGATGGTACAGTCATACCAATCATTTCTAAGTGATCAGCATCTTTGCTGAAGCAAATTCCAACAGCATTGAGGTCGTGATCATCCAAAACCAACTTCGCTGGACAGGTCATGTTGTTCGCATGCCTGATTCCTGCCTTCCAAAGAGAATCTTTTTCTCACAGCTGAAAGAAGGTCACTGAAGTGTCACAACCCTGTGATTTTTTGGTGCCTCGGCACTATGGAATTTCCTGGCCACATGAGAGCTCCTTTGCACGGCAGAGTGTTCTGCTGCAATTAAAAGCCTGCGTGCAGGAGAGTTCCCGCCAATTTGCAGTTTCCTTTGCAGGATGCATTTCTT